AATGATTTTTTAAAATTGATATCAGCTGTTTTGTGTTCGCTTTCGTCACGAGGAATTACTTCGAAAGAAGTTTTTTTATTTGATATCAGTTGATTTGTACCCGAATATTTTTTTCTCAACAAAACCAACTAACCCTTAACAAACACAAAGTGGTTTGTATTGAGCCAAAGAAAATGAAACATGAAATGTTGTAGTTAAAAACCAGCCTTTTTGAATAAAGCAAAATCAGCGCGTAGATGGGAAAGCAGACTCATGAGCGTGTGGACTCGAGTTCGAGTCTCACGCCGTAGGAAAAGAAAAATTTAATTTTTTTTTTCGTTTAATAAAATTTGCTAGAAAATTTGATTTTTGGACAGACAGATGAAATTACATTTTGTTTTGGTGAAATTACATATCGCTTTTATACTAAGAAACTATCACATGTTTAGTTTTTTCATGATGAATTTTTTTGATTTTGATTTTTTCATGAAAAGTACTTTTTTGTGTTTTTTGTTGATTGCTTGGAATAAAAAGACTTGGTGAGGGGCTGGTATCTGAAGGAATTTTATTCATCTGAACGCAAAAACACTTTGGTTATGATTTTGCCATTGTTAACGGCAGCAAAAATGAGTTTTAGTTTATTTTTATCGATTTTTTATGTTTTTTCAAACTTCTAATGGCTATATCTCAAAAAAACAGAGTTTTCCCAGATATAATCTATATGTCAAATTTTAGCTCTAACTTGGGGCTAAATTCCAGAGAATTTTTAAAAAAATCGTCGGAGCCGTTTTCGAGAAAATGGTCGATTTATGCAAGGCCAGGTCACCATTTTTTTGGGTTTCTGCCCATAAGACCATGCCAACTCAATTTTTTCAAAATAAAATAGATGTCATTTGAAAGCTGGCCTCAATACCTTTCCAACGATACCCAAAAGTCTGGAATCGGTCGACTAAGTTAGGCACAGTGATCATTGGAAAGAAGGCCATATTTTGAATTTTCGAAGGCCGGCCAAGGCCAAGATGGCGGCCAAATCAAAAAATGTCGGAACAAAAAAGTCTTAGTTTTTGATATGCTTCAATGCCTGGAAGTTTAAAAAAGATCGGGCAAAAAGTACGGACGGACGGACACACAGACTATTATCTCAGAATAATTGATGGAGACGCCAAAGAAATTTTTTAAATTGTCATAACTCATGAACGGATGGTCCAATTTCGACGTTCTTGGGCTTGTTGGAAAGGTCTCGACGAGTAGACTCAGAAAAAACATGTTTTAAGATGAACGGGCCGCGTTTAACACCCGGTAAATGGGAAAAACTGATAATTGTACATAATTTTCAAGTGGCTATTTCTATGGAGGCGGTTGGTCGATTCCCAAGTTTGAATGCATTTTCTGGGCCTATGAGCCAGGGGCTTTCTAGCGATACTTCACTCATACCAGATGGCCTCTTAGGAAAAAAGTTCGAAATTGCGTGTATATATAGCGAGTTCGACTTTCAGCACAGAGGTGCTTTCATCACTCGCGCCTGCTGTCGCCGGCTGTGATAGTTTGATTATACATAGCTACTGGTTCTCGACTAGGCAAAAGAATATTATGACTACGCGAATGACCAAACATGAAATGTCTAATGAAAGCCGATTGTCAACGATTCAAGAAAATCTAACAACGCGTTTGAGAAATGATAAACTAATTAATATATTGAAGAAAAGTTTTACGTCTAATCTAACAAGTCCCTGTTATGAATTTACAATTTACTTAACACAGTACGACACATGTTTTTTTCTCGTGTCCCTGGCGATGCCTTTACAGGCCTGAAAGAAGTCCTTAAATAATGAAGAACTGCATCCTTCCTTTTTGAAAGTTAGCTCGTTTAAGCGTCTTATCAAATTCGGCGTTTTCAGTGTTCAGCTTATTGTAAAAATTAGTTTGCATGCCATTTACTCCCATTTCTGATGGTTTTACGCATATAATCACTTTTACAAAAATGTTCAGCGGACAATTTTACATGGAAATAGACTTTCCAGATCCGAAATTTATCACTGACAGTGTCAAATATGGTCAGAAATGTCCAGAATGCCCGAAAATGTATGAAAATCACGAAAAATCGACCTTTCTTCAAAATTTTCTGGAATATTGACTTTTCAGGGTTGGTGTCTTGGTAAATAGTTATTTTTGCCAAAAATATGGAGACTCTTCTCAGCCAAAAACTCTCGAAAATGGCTTTTTTGGGTACCTCTTGACATTTTTCATGGATTTTGGTATGAAAATATCATGTTTTTTTAGGGAGGTACCCCAAAAGGCCATTTTCGAGAGTTTTTGACTGAGAAGAGTCCCCATATTTTAGGAAAAAAATAACTTTTCACCAAGACAACAACCCGGAAAAGTGAATATTCCAGGAAATTTTGAAGAAAAGTCGATTTTTCGTGATTTTCATACATTTTCGGGCATTTTGGATATTTCTGACCATATTGGACACTGTCAGTAATAAATTTCGAATCTGGAAAGTCAATTTCTATGAAAAATTGTCCGCTAAACATTTTTGTAGAAGTGATTATATGCGTAAAACCATCAGAAATAGGAGTAAATGGCATGCAAACTAATTTTTACAATAAGCTGAACACTGAAAACGCCGAATTTAATAAGACGCTTAAACGAGCTAACTTTCAAAAAGGAAGGATGCAGTTCTTCATTATTTGAGGCCTTCTTTCAGGCCTGTAAACGACTCACCAGAGACACGAGAAACAAAAACATGTGTCGTACTGTGAAATCGAAACCAAAGACATAAAAAATCAACTTATTTTCGCAAATACATTGACACAAAAGGTAGTTTTCATTATAGTAATAACAGATCAAAAGTTAATCACCAACTCAAAGGACCTATCACCAACTATATCACAGTCAACGTTGCTAATTATATCAAAGTTTTTGTAAATATCACAGATTAATATCGGTACTCCTATACATTTTGTAGGGATGTAAGATATTAATTTGCCAATATTTTTATTGAATTTTTGGCTTTGTTCGCTGCATACTGACGAAATGAAGTTTGCGCGACTGGTGAAATTTTTGAATTGATCAGCAATCAGATTGCAAACCTGCACATTTGGGGCGTTTGAGCTCTGATTTGCTTCTCCATGAGCTTGTCCTTGATTTTTAGGTAGTCGGTGTACCGTAACGTACGTACGCTCTCGATTTTTTTGATATGTACGGCATAAGTTGGCAGCCATACAACGTAACAGTACTCAAGAACTAATGCACAATATAGTGTTTTGAACGTTTGAACGTCGGTTATGGCGTAGCAAAATCTCCTGATGAAACCAAGGGAAGTCGTTGCTTTCGATGTAATTGCTTCGATTTGCTTGACAAAACTAAGTTTCTGGTCAATGATGACGCCGAGATTTTTGTGGTTTGATACGCGCTTGAAATTGAAGTCATCACATTTGTAACTTGTATCGATACTGTCCTTCTTCTTTGTCGTGAAAATTATGGCTTGTTTGACCATTCGGTTACGACCATAAGTACGTAATTAAGCTTCATACTTAACGTACTTATGGGTAATAATCGGTAACAATAATTATTGTTTTAGTAATTACGTATTACTCAGTAATAAGATCAGTACTCAGAAAACTTGATTGTGGGTATTTCATCACTTTACACCACGGATTTGTAGCTGTCATGGAACATAACCTCAAAAGTGGTTTGATTTAAGAAATATGTGGTGCGTTCAGAATGTTTGAGCGCACCAAATATTTCTCAAATCAAACCACTTTTGAGGTTATGTTCCATGACAGCTACAAATCCGTGGTGTAAAGTGGTGAAATACCTACAATCAAGTTTTCTGAGTAACAATTACAGTAAAACATGTTTCACCTTCAGTCTTACCCAAAGAAATCAAAATTGAATCTGCTTCCTATGTATTTTAAATGTAAAAAAACCGCACGATCAAACAAGCCATAATTTCCGAACGAACAAACATGCATTTTTTTTTATTTTCGAACGAAAAAAAAAAAATCCCAATTTTTGAACGAACAAACGAACGAAATAATTTTTTTATGTTTTCGAACAGTCGAACAAGCGTTCGAAAGTGTTCGACAGCCAACACTATGTGTCGAAAAAAATTCTATAGACATCTTCCTCGATAAAAACAAAATGTGAATGCAGGTTTTAAAATAAAACAAATCAAAAATACGAAATTCTATATAAATATACAATATAAGAATTCTAAATTCCAGATTTAATCCATTGTCTTCGAAATTTTCAGCAGACATTTTTCAAAAATTTATAGTCTGATTCTGTTGTATTTGTGTATGAGTGTCGTTCTGTACCTTGCTCCAAGTGAATCTGATTGTTGGGCAGTTGTGGTACTATTTTCTGCGGCTGATGGGCCAGGGCTAGATACGGATGCACTCTTCACGTGTCCTTTTCCACTACCTGCGCCATTCGAATTGCCTCTTGTTAACTCAGATACTGTTGTTGCAAAACTATGACACAGGAAAAACACACGAAAAGACGAAATTTCGAGTTTTTGTTCAAAAGTCAATTGGAAATGCATATTGGCCAATATGAAGTTTGTATGATAATATGCATTGTGTGCATTTGATTTTTAAGAGCAATATATACGTTTTCTCATATCATAAGATAAGACAATTGTAGCAAATGACAGTTATCGCAGATAGCTATGTATTCAAAGTGGGTAAACAACTTTGATTCCTACAGCATGCCACTCTCATTTAAGTTATTTACTCCTCTAATGCACCCTGTATAATGTGAATGGCACATCGGAACACATTGCTTCAAAAGGAATTTTCATTCGTTATATATATTTATGTAACAAATTATATATATTTTTGCCTTCTGCATTATTAGCATACTTCAAGCGGCTGTTGAATTATAAACAAAAATGAGCGGACAAAATTATTCGATTTTCAAATTAGACACATTTTCGACACTTTTAAACAATGGATTGGTTGTTCTTTGGTTTATATCTAACGCCGATTTGAGTAAACCATGTGTAATTCAGCATTTTGAGAAATTTTCTCGTTATCTATGGTCCAAATCAACCAAAGACCAGCAATTCCAGTTCTGGGAACAATAATTGCACTACAATGTTAGAAATAATCGTGAAGTTGTTCCCGAAAATCTGGAAAAATACGAAATTCACATTTTTCCTTTGAAATTTGCGAATTTGACAGAAATCTAGCCAAAAAAATGCTAATTTTACACGATTTTTGTCACATTCTACCGGAAAACCGTGAATTTCATATTTTACCAGATTTTATGGGACAACTTCACGATTATTTCTAACAGTGTATAGCGTTAAACTAAACTTGAAACAAAAATTGAATTCATTTTGATCACCCTTCACTAAACGAATTTTTATCATTAAAAAAACTATAAAACGGTTAAAAAGTGTTATTTATATTTGCTTTACTCCCTTTATCATACTAAATTAAAGGTTTTTTTATTGAGTTCGATACGAACAGTTCAATCAAGAAACGGTTCGTAGATTCTAATCGTACAAGTTATAACTGAATTTTTGACTCAAATTCGTGCAAAATTGTGCAGATTAGACATGTACTCGGTAAGAACGTAAACTAGGAAATTTATAAGGAGAATGCGCAACATATTTATGTGATGAAATGAGCAATCTTCGAACGGACAACAACTTGATTTCAACTTATCAATTTCAATTCATGTTCATTAAATTTGCCAAAATAAGGTGTAATAACCGCAAAATTCTCTTAGACTTTTAAAGTTTACGCAATATCCGGGAGACGCTACAATGCATTTAGTGTGCAACATTTGTAATTTCTTCATCGGAAAGCGTACGCATTAGTACTATCATATGGTCCATATTTTATTTGTTTTAATGAAATAATAGCAATTAAAACCGGGGGAATAATATGTTGTATTAGACTTTTAATTGTTAAATCTTCACTTACTTCGATTCCGTGGGTAAAACGCTTGTTTTTTCAGATGACAATGTTTTCTCATATAGTCGTGTTGAGCGCCGCTGCATTATTCCACCTCCACTGCTTGGACCAACTGTTTGATTACCATTGGCTGGATCGAATTTAGATGTTGTTCTACTCTTTGCTGGGCTCGATGCAGCTAAATTTATTACAAATTTTAAAAAAATATATAAAAATTAATCAAGTTGTTTAAATCATTTAATTCGAATGCAATGAAAAGGCTTGTGAACAGTTTGGTCGTATTTCTATAGATAAATATGAAATTTTGAATAAGCTTTGACAGTGAAGAAAATTTGGATTGGATGAAATAAAATATCTTACTAGGGGCTTTTTACTCTTTCGCATACGTGCACATAAACGCGCATAGATTGTGTGCAACAGTGAAGAGTAGCGAATTTTGCACATAGTCATGAATATTACGCATAGAAGCGAATACGCGTGCACATAATGACGCTTAGATGCAATTATTTATGCGACTCAAGACGTATCAACACAATATCAACAATCTCTTGTATAGGTAAGGTTCGTTTAAATGATATTTGACGTTGGCGCTTTCTGTCTTTCATATTTATCAAATTTCATGATAAAGAGATTGTTCTTATTTGATGAATATTTAATTTCGAAATTGCATAAAATTAAAATATATTAGCAATGGGTGAACATTCTGCACTGCACAACTTATTTTTTTTTGCTATTTCTATTCAATGTTTGGTCCGTATAAATGAAAACGAAAATGAAAACGTTAAAATATACAAATATTGAGGTAAAGCCGTCGATAGTTTTGACGTATAAAAATCAATGAATAAATAAGTGCGACGTTTCACTCTTGATGGGAATAGCATCTGGAATAAAAATCATAAACAAAACAGTGTATAAATGATTGAAAAATACAGAAAATGTGAACCGAAAAAAATCTCACTTCCAATGTGAAGTCTGATCGTTCTAATGAACAGAACATACAAGTTAGTTTTCATTTATGTCAACATCACTTGCAATCAAGTATTTCTTGTATTCTCACGTGAAAAAAGTCGTTGTAATTTTGGATTCGAAATAGTCGATATCGCGGCGTGTGACCAATCAGAGAAGAGAACATTTTAGTGGGATTTATGCGAAATTATTCGCAGTATGAATTGTCTATGTACAGAATTCGTGACTATGCACGGACATCGAACGTGTGCACTTCTAATGAATAGGCACCGCATATTACGAATAATTCGGCACTTACTATGAGTTGAAGCGCATATTCTTCGCATAAAACGCATTTATTTCGA